GCGCAATGAGTAAGCCCGAATTTATGATATTTAAGTGCATGCCATGAGACCGTTTTCTTTCAACGAGTAATCGGAGTTGGGTAAGGCTGCCATGGTGTTGATGTATTTGAAAATAAAACAAGCGTTCACTGGAAGACTATACCTCCAGCTAGTAATTATATCCTCAGAATTGTGTCTGCTGCAAATTTTCCTGCCCATTTGGGTAGCATCTTGAGTTCACGATATACAAGGGTTTGTTTTAGGCTTGCTCCAGCAATACCTACAAGTGGATTATTTTTAAGTGATGCTACACGTGCAATGCTATATTCCTCTCTACGGAGACAGAAGGCTGCGCAGGCGGCTGGCGAAGACAGAGTCGCCACTGAGCTTGAGGCCACAAATGGCTCTGATCTCATGCGGCTGTGGTCTCGCACAGCATGATGTGTTTTTTGAGTAGTCAGGCATATGAGTGATTTAAGTTCTGTGAGGAAAGTAAAAGTTACCTGCAGTTCACAGTGTTCGCTGAATTGCGCAAGAGTGTTTCCGACTTTGAGGAGGCTAATCATTTGCACATGCCTTAGTCAGCCAGGCTATCAATCAACAGAAATTGGGATGTAAACCTACCCTACTTTGACTTTAGTCTAAAAGATAATGAATAACATTAATTCAACCAAAATAATACAAAACGCGTGGCATAATATAAAGCGGGATAATGAATAAAGCAGACATCATTTTTTTTATCGAGACTACAAAATTAAAAGGCAGAACTTACCTTGGTAGTGGTCATGGTTACAATAAACCCTACGTTTTTATCTAACGAGAACCATGAGAATGGGGTTTTTATGGGTGGAGAAAACTGATGGACAAAAAAGAAATTTGTAAACAAAGTCCAAAAAGTCGTAAACTTTTGTCGAAATAGTTTAATGCGGTGTCTATATAGCAACGGCGTTGGTGCGTAAATAGAAAAAAGGCGCGAATAACAAATCGTGTTTGAATCGAGCTCGAATCGATGTCAGCAAACCTGGAATGTTCTTATTTATATTTATATGCCTACTCCCATGCATCCCGTAAGACAGAAACTTGGGGCTTTTTCCATACGATATCACTATCCCACCGTAAACCCAACCCTTACCCTAACCCCAACCCTTGCCCTTACCCTAACCCTTACCATAACCCTAACCCAAACCCTACCCCTTTCCCTAGCCCTAACCCTAACCCTTACGCTAACCCTAAAAGGAATTCACTGAATCGGCATGTAAATATAAATAACATTCGTGCGCTACCAAGGAGACTCCTGCCAATTAAAATTGGTTAAAACCAGAAAGGGAACCGTGCGAAAATTCTAAAAATGTAAATAGGCGACCGAAGCATTTAAAAACAAGCAACCAGGGAGTGAAGCTTTATACGAAGTTTAGATTCCTAGTGCACCTTTTATGGTAAATCATTCACCAGAGCATGTATTCACATTAATATCATCCATGAGACGGGGTGAAGGTTTTTTTTAAACGTTTTGAGCGAAATGAGCGTCTTCCGAAGACAATGGTGATAAGCCAGACGGCCGATCAATCATCATTCCAAAATCCATCACGATTGAGCAGATTTTACCAGATGACTACCAGTACGTCCTGCCATGGCGCAATTAGCACCTAAGCGGACAAATATCCACTATAAAAGGGCAGCCATAAATTGGCACAGGTATGCAGTAATTTAGTGACTGTATCGTATAAGTTCTGCCACTATCTCTTTTGGACCTATCCTCCTCTGTTACCATCTTCGATGATGGATTGAAGAGATAGTAAAGCGAATGAATGTATTGTTCCAGTAATTTGCCAAACTCTGCAATAGGAGGTGATATTGTACATGGTTCGTCAGATGCTCACACGCATTTCTAGATATAGGGAATGTTTACAGGCATAATACTCACTGCATAACCTCTGTGCTCAACCCCCAACAGTAAACGTCTTCAGCCTGTTGTCTTAAAAATACTGGAAATGGCCCTGCAACAGTTTGCAAATGAAGTCGAATTGACTTGGTCAATTACCGGAGATCCTGAAAGGACTGTCATGCCCGTGATGACGATTCCTGAACAACTCCCGAAAATATGCTCAGGCAGTTATGCAACTGTCATCGGACTGATTGAAAATCGTAAGTCTTGCATATCTTATTAGCATAGCGGATTGACACCGACTCCATATTATTTCTCGTTTACCTCCAACTAATAGTTATCCAAGCTTCTAATTCCGATCATTACCGAAATATGCCCTTTTCTTAGAAACGTCTTGCATATCTCTCCCGTACCAAATAGTCTGACAGAAATATTAACGGTATGATATTGAAGAATATTTTATTAATAACAAAACTTATTAGGCATGCCAGTACTAAGTACGTATTTTCAAATGAAACGCTGCACCCCATTGCTATAATTGGTTGACTTTGCAGCAAAGAAACTAAACATTTCTGGGACCGTTACCTTGAAATTCAATGTAAAGGGCCAAACCTACACCATTTCGGCACATGTTCCTGAGGCAAAGATGCCGCGCCAGGAGAAGTCCGGTGAGTCGAGTCTACCCTTTCACATGGAGGCAGCAATGATGCAAATTCTCGAGCTGTCTGACAAACACGCATCGCTGGATACGACAAAGGAAGATCAGTTGGAGGAGGCCGCGCGTATCCAGAAAAAAATTGTTGCCTTGTCAACTAGCGCCAACGTGATCTCCAGATTCACCGCATTTGTTGGTGTTGATCCAGAGAAGTCAGGTGAGTTCCGTCCGCCGTAGTAAATAATTTAGTCTATTGAAATATCCGCATTTCAAGCGAAATACTTAATAAGCGGTAGAGTACTTTGTGAAGGAATAATGCTTATTGTGTGCATTTTCGAGTCTGGTTCTCCATCTTGTCAGACAAATGGGAGTGTTGCGAAAACAGTTAACTCAAAAAGATGGCTCACACAAGACACTGCAGTTGGTCAAACTGTCCGAAGTTAATCGTCATCCGAATTTAATCATGTGGTTAGTGGACAAATAAGCTGTCATACGCATGTAGTTATGCGGTCCGTCGGTGAATAGTTGTCACACGTATGCGCTCAGTGGCGGCTGTTCTGGCTTCAGTCTCTTCTATACAGATTTTTAGTTCACATCAAAATGGATATGCCAATAATACAATCAAACTAGTGGATCATAGGCGTCAGTTCACGTTTCACCACATAAGGGGTTTAAGCTCTTTTTGATTTTGTGCGATAAAGCTTCCGGTGCTTGGTCGAACTGTTTTTTTTAAAACTTCGGGTAGTTGACGATGATCAAAGTTCCCGAAAACTTAACAAAATATCAATTTCACGCATGGAGGTATCCAAAATCACCACACCACTTAATGCAACGGAGTGTGAACCTATCAGCCTATAATGTAGATCTACATTTAGTATGCGTGCGAATAAAACAGTATTTGCTCAATGCTTGTTTCTCCTAAAAAATCTCCTCACAAAATCCTACATGGATTCACAAGAAGGTTCAAGTAGTTGCACCATGTGGCGAAGGAGTGATCCGTTCTTGGAGTAATTATTCGTTATTACCAATGCGAGCTTAAGGCCGTATGCTAGATGTTAGGAAGGCCCACCAATTACGGTTTATTGTCTACGCTTCGGAATTCAAGCGACCCATACAGAAACCAGTTATTGTTACGGATATACTATAAAAGCCCAG